GAGAGAGAGAGAGAGAGAGAGAGAGAGAGAGAGAGAGAGAGATTGATTGATTGATTGATTGATTGATTGATTGATTGATATTTATTTAGCTTTCTCCTCTATTTCTAATACATTAAAATACATTTGCAACATATTCTTTTAACACTCTTTTAAATGACTCAATTTTTTCACACTGCCTTATTTCGTTTGGTAACACATTGTACATTTTCACTCTTTCATTGAACATACTTTTTCACGCACTTCTGGTTTTACGAAATTGAATTACAATATCTCCTGCCTGTCTAGTTTGTCTTATTTCTCCACTACCACTTCTAGTTTACTTCTTAAATGCTCTGGCAACATATTTTTTAAAGAATACTCCAAAGTGTTGCGAAGGCTCCCAAAAAGAAAATATGTAGAAAGGGAGAGTTGTGAGCCACAAAATGAACGAAACTCGGTTCTCACAATATAGAATCAAAACTTCTCGTTAATAGCATAAACGTTTCGACCCTTCATCGGGTCTTCCTCAGTAAAAAACTACAATGAGATCATCGAAAGTACAGGATGAGAATACAGTACAACTTATAATACAGATTGGTTCAATAATTATAGTCAGTTACCTCGTTTAGACCGAATAAAGCATAAGGCAATATCTTAGGGGATTAGTGCACTGTGTGACTTCAGAGTCAATCTTCTATTTGTGTTAGTACCAGTGAGTCTCTAAATTGTCCCAGACATAAAGAGGACTGAATGACACAACTTGACAGAGGGACAAATCCGTAACAATGGTGTTAAACGACTGTGACACAGCATTATCGAACAGGTGAAACTTGATAATAATAAAGTGTTGTAAACATGACAGGGTAAAATTATGAAGTCTTAAGAATTATGAAGTTACAGTTGCTAAACAAAGTACCTATGTTACAGTTACAGGAAAAAAGTAACGTTATTACCAGTTTGTTACCAGAAAAAACGTAATTTGTAACAGTAATAGCGTTACAAGTAACGTGTTACTTCTATACCCTGATATATGGTACAGGATGGCTCATTTTAATCAAGCCATTCAATTTTGTGTATGTTACAATACACAAAATTTTTCAATAATTAGAGCACTATTGTAACAGCATATTCCTGAGACCAAATCAAGTAAAAAGTTCCTGTACTACTTTTTTCTCCGAAAAACAGTTATCGAGATATCATAAGCTAAATCCTGAAAAAGTTATCAATTTTCTCTTGAATCTCAAAAAGTATTAGACAAATAAAAAAATGTTTCAGACAAAAGCTGTCCATATTAATTAGTGGAATAAGACTATGATAAACAATAGGTGGTTACGTTTAAGAAATTTACGATAATCTTCGCATGACTTTGACAATACTATTCAAGGTCATACTGATATTGGTATATTATGCGTTATTTTATTGAAACCCTACAACTTTTATCTGAAAAATTTTTTTCCGGAACTTATACGTTTAGAGATATTTGAGTGGATTGATTAAATGAGTCACCCTGTATATGTATGTACATATATACATACTCAAATACATATGTATACATATGTATATATAAATTTATATATATTTATATATTTATGGAAAAATTTCACCTAATCGCTAATTGTTTCTTTTGTGACATTGCTACTTTATTGTTACATAGTAGTAAATTACCAGATTAGATAAGAAGGTAAAGAAGTTGTAAATATTTTGTCACTTGCAACCGCTTTAAATGTAACAGTGATATACAACAGAAGGAGGAGGAAGGGGGAGGAGAGAGAGAGAGAGAGAGAGAGAGAGAGAGAGAGAGAGAGAGAGAGAGAGAGAGAGAGAGAGAGAGAGAGAGAGAGAGACAGAGACAGAGAGACAGAGACAGAGAGACTAGGTTTTTTTCCACCACGGTGTATCTCGCGCGTCGCTCCACCTCCCGCTCATCGATCGATTTTCTTAAATGCCTTCCGAGTCCGGCCTACCGTCTCCTGCATCCTCATTCGCTCAAACGTGTAAATTAATTCCTCGATAACTATTGTTACTTTGTACCGCGGTACATGATATTTCTCCTTAGTTTAACCCAATCTACCACTATTTTCAAGGTGGCTACTTTTGCATCAGACACCCTGTATAGAATATAATTAATTTGTCTGTTTTTAAGGGTAAACTTGGATATGATAATCATAGTTTTTTAATGCAAAAGGATACTTTTATTTTTGTTATTCTTTAATTGTGCTTGTTGTATTGTTTTATTGTGTGGAGCTTAAAATACGTAGTACTATCAAAACTGATGAAAAGACACTTAAGGGGTCTGGCCACCCTAAAATTTTTCAAAAGTCGAATTTTTTCTCTTATAATTAACTTAGAAGTTCTACCAACAATTTAAGCTGTCGCCGGTATTAAAATTTGTAAAATTGCCGAAGTTATAGGTATTTTTAAGTAGAAAGGTCGAGCCCTTTGACTATATAATCATGGACTGCTAGCATGAAGAATAGAGATAAGGAGACCGAACTGTATGTTCGGGACACGCGGCCAAAACCGATCCCCGATGGTTGTATCTTTAGGTACCAATAGATGGCACTGCAATCTGAAGGCTACCCGATGGCTATTGGCTTAGAGTTGAGGAGGAGGAGAGATTGCAGGGTGGAGCGTGGTGGGGAGAGTTAAAATCGTGCATGTATTTGTGCGCTGTTGCCGGTCTCGTCTGCTTCCACCTTTGACTATATAATCATGGACTGCTAGTTGCCGCATTCAGGCTGTAATCAACATCACGAGCGCCACCATAGGATAAATGGCAGAAAATCGAAACACTAAGTCAGATTTAATGGTAAAACAGGACAGAAGACAGAGATAGAATATAGCTTATGTCGTGCTGTTTTATCATGTTTATCAGAGTTCAGAACCAATTATAATATAATTGGTCCTGAAATGGTCCTGTTTTACCATTAAATCTGACTTAGTGTTTCGATTTTCTGCCATTTATCCTATGGCGGCACTCGTGATGTTGATTACGTGTTAGACCAGGCAAAGTGGAGGCAACTAGCAGTCCATGATTATATAGTCAAAGGCTTCCACACACTACATAGCCGCCGGTGCGTGTACGTGTGGGTCCCGTTAGAGACCCTCTAATCAGAGTCTGGCCAACAGAGTGGTCCGCTAGGTGTAGTCAAATCCAACGAGAGAGAGGGCAGTACGATTATCTCACTCTCTCTTTGAGATATTCGTACTGCCCTCTCTCTCGTTGGATTTGCCTAAACATGGCGGACCACTCTGTTGGCCAGACTCTGATTAGAGGGTCTCTAGGTCCCGTCAAACGGAGGCGCCATCTAGCGGAGCATTAGTAAATTAGAGTCCAGCGACCAATTTGGCCGTGTTTCTCGAACATTTTTCCGTGTCAGTTCGGTCTCCTTATCTCTATTCTTCATGACTGCTAGTTGGCTTTTTTTCGATTTAATGGACATGAAACGCGCCCTCAGGTCCTAAACGGCAGAAAATGGAAACATCAAGTGAGATTCCGATGGTAAATGGTGAGAAAAGAAGGTGTCATATATCACTATTCTACGATTTTTAGCAAATTATCAATCTGCTAAAAGTCGTAAAATAGTGGTGTGTGTGTTCAGGCAGTCTTGCTATATTATACATTTTTACATTATAAGAAAAGAACGAATTAAATTTAAAAAGAATGAAATAAATACAGAATGTTAAATATGAAATATTTTATTATTTATTCAAACTAAAATATATGCACGGAGAAAAAGTTATGGATATCACAACAATAAAAAACTGTTAATTTCCGCCCATCAATAGAAAAGGGTTGTGAGAACCACAGTACTTTGGAAATGACCTATGCGTTGCTTCAACCTTAGTGAGGGTAACTGCTTTATGGATGTTACAACTGTAAATAATTATGCTTAACGGACGGCACCGCGCGGCACCGCGGCTAGCTAGGACGTAGATGCCCGGTTGGCCTGTCCCCTCAACTAGAAGGCCACCGTCCCCGTCCCGATCGCTGGCGCTCGCGCCGCTGCCGCTACTGCTGCTCTCGCCGTCGCTCTCGATCCTACTGTTAGTACACTGAAAATGCTGCAGGGATAAATTCTAACCTAAAAATGTTTTATTTTGAGTGTTACTTACCTTTGAAAATAGGAATCCAATTTTCAAATCCTATACTTTCAAGACAAAGCTCGCAGGCTTGATCCATTATAAAAAAGTATAAGAATATGCACAATATACACACTTTAATCAAATTCTCTTCGCGAGTTGATATGTTACGCTGTGATGGAGACAAGAGAACTCGTACTATGCAACTTATACATATTGTTACGCCCGCTAATATTGGACGCCCGGTGTATGGCGATTTGGCACCACGCTTTGGTGTTACGCTCGCGATGATTCCGGCCCTCGTTAGAAAGCGGCGCCCGGTATCGTGGCGGGTTGCCACGATACCGATGAGCTGTTGTTTGTTATGTTACGTTATAGGG